ACAAGGAGTTTAAATAAACTCTTGAAGAAAAACGGGCAATGTATAAAGGGCAAATTCAAGTCTAGTTTATCCACATCCAATTAAAACTGTCTTTCACTGTTTGTGCATAACCGCAATAACGTTAGTTATTAATTTTAAAACTTTTGCGAACGAAAATTTTCCCGTTTAATATTGAACAGAATAATAGAGTGTGAAATAATTCAATCTGGAAACCCAAAGGAAGATTAGATTTCAAAGAATTTAAACCACCAAATTGCACCACTGAAAGCCAAGGAAGCTCCTGTTTAATATAGACGGTGTTAAACGCTTTAACTGTAACGGCTTCTCTTTGGTGAAGTCTTAACCGAATCCGAAAATAAGTTTCTTAGAATGGAAGCTATCGCCCAAAGGCGCTTTTGAGCCTTACAACTTAGCTTTTCCCGTTTTCTCCGGTTAATAAGTGCATCTTTTGTGTCGGGATTTCTCATTAACAGAGGCAAGGCATTGTGAACAATCTTCAATTCTGGCTGTTTCCCTTGGACAATAGGGACACTAGTCAGAAGTCTGAGCGCTAATGAACGTTATCAAGCCGCAGTCTTCCTGAGAGCTTTTCCATGCTACTTAAAATAGAACTGTAAAATAGAGAACGCTTTTCAGGACTTATGTTAAGCGGGGAAAGAATAGAAAGAAATTGTTCAAATAGCAAATACCAAATTTTGATATCTTTATAATGAGCAAGTTCTATACTTATTGTGCGGTTAAGTTTTAAAGGGGGTTTTTTGAAACTCTTTCACAGCAAAAAATGAGACAAAAAAATCCACAGTTTTAGTGTCTTCAACTCGAAATTAAGCTTTGATTTTATATTATATGCATACTATCTCTGCTAAAAAAATTCGATTATCATAAAAAAAATCAAGATGTTTTTTAATGCATTTTTTGCTAATTTCTTTCTATATATATCAAAAATTAAAATTCTCTACAGTTTAAAATTGAATATTTTGGCATATTTCGAAACAATAAGTTGTTGGAGCTACTTTCTAATCAACAAAAATGCCAATGGAAAAAAGTATTTCGTTGATTATCCTTAACTATTTTTAACCGAAGCAAGATATTATATTATATTATATTACAGTATATTATATTACCGTCGTTGAACAGCAATTTAGGGTTTACTGTTTCTAATGTTCAACTCCACAGCCTTGTAACTTTGAACCCAATTTAGAAGACAAAGGAACTCCTGGATCAAGTATTGGGAGAAATTGGATATAGTGAAAGATTTTTTGATGGAACTAACCCGTATTAGAGTTACATGGTGATGAAAACCACGAAAACCTTCCATGATTAGCCTGGCGGAAAGGGGACTCTAACCTATGATCCGTCTACCACTGAGGATATTGTACGTCATCACTGTTTTCAATACGAGCCGGATGCGGAATTCCAATCGACCAGCTGTAGTTGGGATCGAACGCGGATCACCTCATTGAGCAGCGAGCGCTCTATCTCCTGAGCCACCACGGCTTAAGCAAGACATTAGAAACAATTTCCAATTTCGATTATTTCCTTGTAAAATAAGGGAGACGTCTGGTTGCTAATGAACATTTTCAAGTCTCAGTCTTCCTGAAATCTACAATGCTTCTTAAAGTACAAGGATCGTAACTGAAAATAAAAAGCTTTTAAGGATTTGTGTTAAGCGAAGAAAGAATAGAAAAAAATCGTGCAAATAGTAAATACAAAGTTTTGATATCTTTATAATGAGCGAGGCCAACAGTTTTAAAAAAACTTTTTAAAACTCCTTCATAATAAAAAATGAGAAAAAGCCGCAGTTTTGTAACTTAAACTCAAAATCTTATTTCTTGTTATAGACTATCTGTTTTTTTTTTTGTTTCACTTGATTATTGATAAAATAATCCAAACTTCTTTAAAAAAAAATAAGTACCCTAACTTGGTAAAATTATTACACAGAGATGAAAATTTACAAAAACTTCAAATTGCATATTTAAGTTTATTTTTCATGGAACATACAATAAATTATTGTAGAAAATTTCTGATTATTGAAATAAATCTACAAAAAAATGATTTTCAATAATTTTTTTATCGGTTTTTCGCAGAAACAAGGCACCTGGAGCAATTTTCAATTTTGATTCTTTCCTTGTACAACAGGTATAGCTATCCCATGTCTTGGCTCCAATGAACGTTATCAAGCTTGACATTTTGATTACTTTCTATATTACTTAAAATAGAAGGAACTTAGTTGCAAAATCAAATACTTCTGCATAATTATTTTAAATAGCTTATATTAATTTGTTCAAATTGTAAATACTAGCTTTTTATATCTATATCATGAACCTGATTATAAACAAAAATATTAACTGACTTATTAAAAATATGATAAAAAATGTTTGACATTGAGTTTGTCACTTATAAACAGAAAAAAGCAGGCGAATTGAAAATTCCGACTGTTTCCTTGTACAATAGGAACAGTAGACCAAGGTCTTGGCTCTGATAGCCAAGACCACTTCCTTAAAGGTCTTCTTGAGACTTCAAATCGAGGAAGGTATGAAATTAATTACTTTTGCGGACTTGTGCTAAACGGAGAAAGAAATCGTTCAAACAGTTAATCGTAACTTTGATATCTTTATAATAAACTAATTTCTACTTGTTCTGCCGTTAGGATAAAGTCAAAAAGTGTTTATTCATCCAGTTTCCACCAAAGAGATATAATTTTAGAGCATCTTTCAACCAATGAGTTTTAGTTTTAGAGCCTTCAAACTGAAAACAAAGCTTTAATTTTACTTTATTGTTATCGCAATCGCATTACCACAGACAATTGTTATCACAAATAAGACTTGAAAAGAAGTTTACTTTTGTAATTTTCTACTTATAAAAAAACTTTTCTCCCTGAGAAAATCATCAATAGTGCTTCTTCGAATTCTCGTTAAAGGAAATAAAGGTACCAAAGCTTCGGTACTTAAAAATTGTAGTGTATATACCACTAAAAAAATATAAATCCAATTCATTAGTATAAAAGACATGTTAACTCGATTCTATAGTGGGGTACCTTTTCACAGATGAAGGTTGACATTGTCTATAACCTCTCTTCCCGCGAAATCGAAGAAAATCTTTGAATGTATACTGCATTGGAGAAAACAATGAGGCTAACTTTCCAGACGTTACAAAGTAATGTACAAAAGTAAGAAATAAAAAGCTTGAGACATATTTGTAATTCACTGTGGTCTGGAGATTAACAAATCTTAACTTATGAAGTATGAAAAAACACTTAAAAGCTTGCAACTGCCATGAAAAAAACATGTTATTTGGGGAAGTCAATATTTCATAATGTAACGAAAGATTTTTCGAATGACTGGTTTAAAAAGTTTAAACAATTTTATTTTTAATGACAATTTTAAAGTGAAAATCTCGTAAAGATTAATTTTTTGTGAAAAACAGCACAGTACAGCCGTTTTGAAATTTTAAAATGAAGATAAAGTGAAATAATTAGAAAACTATAATTAGTTTTGAAAAATACAAGTATAAATTGTAAATGATTTCTCATTACTTTTATAACTTCTTCGAATTTAGATAATATTTTACTTGTATTAAATCAACTTCTGTGTTTTATTATTTCCTTTGCTTCGCAAAATCGAAAAATAATTGAAAAATATGATTACGTAGCTAAGCATTTCCGTTTATATCATGCAAATAATTATATCATACTAATAATATTTTTTATTGAGTTAAATTTTAATATCTGTTTAAATGCCAAAATCAATTATTCCTAAAAGAAAATTACGAGCGATTTATTTATTTTAGTAAGATGATAATTTTCTAAATTTTTCACGGATTAGGGGTTTTCTTTAAATATTTTCTTTCATGTCATTTTAGGAGTCTTTTTAGGTACTTTTTTAATTGGTCTGTTTCTCTATTCAGCGAGCCGTGATGGCTCCGTGATGGGGATAGGGCGTTCCCCTTCCAATGAGGTAAACCGGGTTCGAATCACAGCGATGGCTGGTCGAAACGAATTCTGCATCCGGCTTGCACCGACCACAGTACTGGTGTGAAATATTCTCAGTGGTAAACGGATCATGGATTAGAGTCCTCCTGCAGTCGGCTAACAGTATGAGGTTTTCATGGTTTTCTTCTCCGTGTAACGCAGGGTTAGTTCCATCAAAAAGTCCTCCTTGAAGGCAAAATTTTTCCCAATACTAGATCAAGGAGTTCCCTATTCTACTAGATAGGGTTCAAAATTACAAGGCTACGTAGTTGAACATTAGTAGACGTAAACCCGAAAGTTAGGTCGGCTGTTCAACGACGATTATAATAAAATTATAATAATAATATCTCCATAAAATGTTGATTTAAAAATGTATAAGAAACGATTTTTTTCACAATAATACAGCAATTGTAATAATTCACTATCTCAGTCAATGTTTTTTTTTTTCACAGAACAATTAAAATGCAGCCAAAGAAGAATAAAAAGACGTAACTTTTTTAATGCAACAATCATACGCTATTTTACCACTAGCTCATAGTTTCCTTTCAATAAGGAGTTAAAAATATCCCAAAGATTACTTTTTTCCAATAATACTGTTATAAACAACTTTCATAGTCGCTGGTTGTTTTCTTTCAATTAATAGTTAAAATTGCCTTAGAAAAAAAACCCTCCTTAACGAAATTTTTCCCATTTATGCTATAATTGACTTCAATGATGGTACTTAAAAATTGTAGTGTATATACCACTAAAAAAATATAAATCCAATTCATTAGTATAAAAGACATGTTAACTCGATTCTATAGTGGGGTACCTTTTCACAGATGAAGGTTGACATTGTCTATAACCTCTCTTCCCGCGAAATCGAAGAAAATCTTTGAATGTATACTGCATTGGAGAAAACAATGAGGCTAACTTTCCAGACGTTACAAAGTAATGTACAAAAGTAAGAAATAAAAAGCTTGAGACATATTTGTAATTCACTGTGGTCTGGAGATTAACAAATCTTAACTTATGAAGTATGAAAAAACACTTAAAAGCTNATCTGTACATTCAGATGGTCTTCAAATTTTTTTATCTCTCTGTAAGAGCAAGGCCCTAGAGGAACATTTGCAGCTTCATGCAAGTTTTTCGCTCGTATCATAAGCGCAGGTCTTCTCTTGTCTCGTAATGCGTGTATAGCTGTTCTATCATTATCTAAGTGAGCAATTGCATACACTATGGCTTTAGCGCAGCACAAACCTTCATTATCAGAGGGTATTGTCAAAATTGAAGTCTTCTTCAAACTGTCCAACTTTTCATTTATCACTCGGTGTGTACGGCCAGCTCCAACATCCCGCAAAATGGTTATGGCATCAATTAAAAAACCATTGTCCAGTTCAATTGTATTCTTTGATTGCAGCACTTTCAAGACAGCAGACATAATTTTCTCTACTGTCATCTCAGCACAGGGCATCAATTTCGTAGAAATCGGTTTGTCTAAACCATCGGCTTGAATACAAATTCTAACAAGATCATTAGCTTTCAAATTCCAGCAGACCTTTTTCAAAATCTTATTAAACAACTGCCCTACCAATTCAACCGATACATCTACAAGGGGAGTGTTAAGTAAATCGTCTGGCAATTTATCTTGATCGATTATTGCTCTGTAGGAAACTTCATCACCTTGATATTTTACAGTTCGTCGACGAGATAATTGTTGAAGCATAATGGCTGGACTTAACTAAAAGAAGAAGAAATTTTTTAAAAACTGAATAATGTAAGATAACATTTAAAGAAAAAAAAATTTAGACGAAACCTACATCAATAGGCTCAGGAGGCGTGCGTTCTATGAATGGAGATCCAACAGTAGAAGGTCCAGGCTGAGTCTATTAAAAATAATAATAATAATTTTATATAATAAGATAATATATTTTTAACTATAATAGTACATGATATTTATTTTTAACTAAGATAAAGTTTAAAATATTAAACAATAATATTTTTTACCTCAAATCCAGAACCCACTTGATAATAAATAGGCAAATTTTGAAACACCTGAGTCGCCTCCGCAAAACCTTGCGAGATATCTCCGATTAAATGTCTGTCATCTTCGAAAAATTCTTGTGTGAGTTCTCCCAAAAGCTATAATAAAAGTTGTTGATTAAAAAATAACTATGTTAAATTGATATTAATATTTTCTTTTATGAAAAGAAAAAAAAAACCTATTATTACCTCATCATCTGTTTCATTGAACTCAAAACCTGGTTCATTAAAATTAAATTCACTTCCCTCATCATCATTCTATAAAAATAAAGAATTATTTCACGGTAAAATTAACAACAACATAAAAAAGAGGCAATAAAATAATTCAAGCATACAATTGTTGTATAAAAATAACTTTGCGAATTTTATAAATAAAAGCAGCTTATTAACTCAAATATACAAAAGAACTTTAAAATGAAATAAAATCAAAACTCAAAGGTAAATCATTTCAATAACATGCGTTAACGAAGTTCTACAACGTACTTATCGCCATACAGAAACAATATAATAAATAGTATGTAAATTATTAATTAATGAAATATAAATAACAAATAATTAAACTTAAGATGCTTCGCTTAATTTAAATAATATAGAAGAAATTAATCAATAAGTAAAATAAAAAACAATTAATTTAACTAGAAATTGATTAATAAAATAATGAAAGAAATATTTCTTACTTTTTCAGAATCTCTTGTTCGCTTTGACATGGTTTATCCTTTAAAAGACGAATACACCGAATATACTCTGAAAAATAAACTAATCCTAACGATACCACTACGTCTGGTATAATATTCTCAACTTAATTGTTTTTCCGTGAAGCAACTCTATATATACTGATTATTATCAATACTCATTTATATAGATAAGCTCTAACTATGTCCTTCCCATAACCCCTCTATGTAGATAAGCTAGATCCCCCTTATGGTTGTGATTAATAAAATACGGATAAAACTCAAAGCATACCTATCTTGTTAATTTTTGTGAGAAATAGTAATAATCCCACGCTCAATAATCAGTGGTAAACTAATTTCTCACATATTGATAAAATTCTCCTATCCGAATAAAACTCAAATGTCACATAGTAAGATTTATCTTCTTAAATTTCATGAGAAATCCTCGCTTTGTAATCAGTATGAAGCACTATGTTATACTATATATTATGACTAATTGATAAAACATGGATAAACACCGAACGTCCCGGACAGAAATTATCGGTGTAAAATTTTATGAGAAATTGATCTGTTCAAGTTCCGTAATCAATATCCGTTAAAGTTTATAGATACTTTTTTGAATTTATTCTTAATTATTATAATATTAAATAAAAAATGAATAATAAAATGAATATGTTTTTGAATATAAATGGATTTATAGCGGCAAAAATTCCCCATCTTAGATTCTTAGATTCAAAATAATTCTTCTAAAATTGTTAAGTTATTTAATCTATAATTGATAATAAAATGTTAACATGAAGTCAATCATTTTCTACTAAAAATTAAATTAATTCAAATATTTTTTATTAATGTTAAAAAATAAGTAATTATATATTTTAATTAAATTAAAATATTTCAGTTCATAAAATTATACGTTTAAAGATGAAACATGTTTATTAATGTATTTAAATATATGATTGAACACCTTAGATATATTGTTATATATTAGATTTTAATTAGATAATTTTTCATGAAATAAAATTTATATTTCTTAAATATCTATATTAATACGTGTTGGAGCTCAAAACTAAAAATTGGGTACAACCAAAGCCATCTGCCCAGTTTTCACGACCCCTACTTGTCATCGCATTAAGCGTAGGAGGTTTTCGTGGTTTTCCTCTTTAGGTAGCGTCTCAAAGGCCTCTTTGAAGACATGTATTGTCTAGAAGTTCCCTTATCTTCTGGGTTCAAAAATGACAAGACTGCATTTGATTGTGTTCAATATATAAAGGTCTAACTTATTTGCACATATCTCACCAAGCATTCGTAGGTCAGTGGTTATGATATCCAACTACTGACCCACGAAGGCTTTTTGATGGCGTGAGTTCGATCCTCAGCCTTAATTATATTTAATAAATAACATTAAAAACAGAATTAAATAATAAAATAGATTTAAAGTTATTTTATTCCCACATAGATGGCGCCACTAGAGTAAAAGTATGATATCATTTATTCATTATGTCATAAAAGATGACGTCATAACTTCATAATATACAATATCTCCCCCAAATAACAAAGTTTACAAGTGTTGCCATCCTTAAAAACTAATATTAAAAATAATAAGTGTTGCCACCCTCAAAAAACTNAATGTTATTACCTCAAATCCCGAACCCACTTGATAATAAATAGGCAAATTTTGAAAGACCTGAGTCGCCTCCGCAAAACCTTGCGTGATATCTCCGATTAAATGTTTGTCATCTTCGAAAAATTCTTGCGTGAGTTCTCCCAAAAGCTATAATAAAAGTTGTTAATTAAAAAATAACTATGCTAAATTGATATTAATATTTTTTCTACAAAAATAAAATAAAATAACCTATTATTACCTCATCATCTGTTTCATTGAACTCAAAACCTGGTTCATTAAAATTAAATTCACTTCCCTCATCATCATTCTATAAAAATAAAAAATTATTTCACGATAAATTAACAAAAAAAGGCAGTAAAATAATTCAAACTGTTGTATAGAAATAACTTTGCGAATTTTATAAATAAAAGCAGCTTATTAACTCAAATATACAAAAGAACTTTAAAATGAAATAAAATCAGAACTCAAAGGTAAATAATTTCAATAACATGCGTTAACAAAGTTCTACAACGTACTTATCGCCATACAGAAACAATGTAATAAATAGTATGCAAATTATTATTTAATGAAATATAAATAACAAATAATTAAACTTAAGATGCTTCGCTTAATTTAAATAATATAGAAAAAATTTATCAATAAGTAAAATAAAAAACAATTAATTTAACTAGAAATTGATTTATAAAATAATGAGAGAAATATTTCTTACTTTTTCAGAATCTCTTGATCGCTTTGACATGGTTTATCCTTTATAAGACGAATACACTGAATATACTCTGAAAAATAAACTAATTCTAACGATACCACTACGTCTGGTATAATATTCTCAACTTAATTGTTTTTCCGTGAAGCAGCTCTCTCTATATATACTGATTATTATCAATACTCATTTATATAGATAAGCTCTAACTATGTCCTTCCCATAACCCCTCTATGTAGATAAGCTAGATCCCCCTTATGGTTGTGATTAATAAAATACGGATAAAACTCAAAGCATACCTATCTTGTTAAATTTTTGTGAGAAATAGTAATAATCCCACGCTCAATAATCAGTGATATACTTTAAATTCTCACTTATTGATAAAATGTTCCACACCAGATAAAACTCAAATGGCACATAGTGAGATTTATCTTCTTAAATTTCATGAGAAATAGTTGTATTCTCACGTTCTATAATAAGTTTGAAATACGATGTTATACTTTATATTATGACTAATTGATAAAACGTGAATAGACCCCAACGGCCCGTCCCGTACAGAAATTATCGTTGTAAAATTTTGTGAGAAATGACTCTCCCAAGTTCCGTAAGCAGTATCCGTTAAAGTCTACAGATACTTTTTGAATTTTAATTCTTAATTTGAAAATAAAGTAAGTTATTTGGATTATTATAATATCAAATAATAAAATGAATATATTTTGAATATAAAATTTCAAGCGGTAATAATTTTCATTATATGTTTTTTTTAAATTTGAAATAATTCATTTGTAGTTTTAAGGAAATTTAATATATGATAATATAATGTAAATATTTAAATATTTATTTTAACAGAAATTAAAATTAATTCAAATATTTTGTTTGATAAGAATAAAAAATAAATATTATTGTATTTTAATGTAATTATGAAATTATTCCGCCTGATAAAATTAAAAGTTTAAGGATGAAACAAATATATATATATATATATATATTAATAATGTTTATTAATGTATTTAAATATATAAGTGAATGAACTCCTTAGTTGTGTTGTTATACATTTAGTTTTTAATTAGATAATTTTTTTCATGGAAATAAAATTTATATTACTTAAATATCTATATTAATACGTCTTGCAAAATAATAAAGCTGAAAATTAGGTGCAACCAAAGCCATCTGTTAAGTTTTCACGACCCCCCCCCCTTCTTGTGGTTGAACTAAGTATAAGAGGTTTTCGTGGTTTCCCTCTTCATATAACGTAGGCGCTCACAAAGTCCTCTTCGCAATGATTAAGAAAATATATCGATGAAACTGTATTAAGATATCGATATCAAACAGTTTTTTTTATTTATGCACATGTTCAAAATACAAAAGTTAAACTTATTTACACATATCTAACCAAGCATTCATGGGTCAGTGGTTATGATATCCAACTACTGACCCACGAAGGCTTTTTGATGGCGTGAGTTCGATCCTCAGCCTTAATTATATTTAATAAATAATATTAAAACAGATTTAAATATTAAAATAGATTTAAAGTTATTTTATTCCCACATAGATGGCACCACTAGATCAAAAGCATGATATCATTTATGTGTTATGTAATAAAAGATGACGTCATAACTTCATAATACACAATTTCTCCCCCAAATAACAAAGTTTCTAAATGTTGCCATCCTTAAAAACTAATATTAAAATAATAAGTGTTGCCACCCTCAAAAAACTAATAAATTAAATAATATTTAAAAAACGAAACTAAATTAAAAACAGAAACCGAAACTAAAAATATATTAGGCTTAAGAAAAAAAAGAAATAAGCTCCCCATGACGCTGCAGACGAAGTTTCAGGCGGGCAGAAATAAGCAAGCGGGCAGAAATAAGCAACTTCCGGTTTGCAGGTGGGCAGAAATAAGCAACTTCCGGTTGGGGCAGAAGTAAGCAACTTCCGGTTGGGGCAGAAATAAGCACCCCTTGACTGCCTATCACTTCCGCCGCATAGATGCCTGCCCTTACTACTTATACTTTTTGATGGTAACCAACTGTAAAAGTGCGAA